GAAGTACAAAGGTACAAACAAAGTGCTTTGAGAGGCCAAAGTGGAGAAAGATCATTACTGGATGGAGTGAGGGAGTGACAAGTCAGAGGAAGGTGGATCAGGGAAGGCTTAGTGAAAAAGCAGACAATGCATGTCACAGGAACTCAAAGAAGAGATCAATGTGGATCAGAATGATTGAAAATGATTCCATGAAGTAGGACTTGAGTTTTGGTGTTGTATAATTTTATAACAAAAACATTTTTGGGGGCAGCTAGGTGGTGCAGTGGATAGAGCACTGGCCTTGGATTCAGGAGGATTTGAGTTCAAATCTGGCTTCAGACACATAACACCTACTAGTTGTGTGACCCTGGGCAAGTCACTTAGCCCCATTGCCTACCAAAAAATTTTTTTTTATATTAAACTATTACCAAGGGCTTTATCTAACTGAAGGAAACAATGAAAAGGACTGGACTAGATGAGTATATAGATTGATGTATAGTTCAAATATAATTTGCATAACTTACAAAAAGACAGTCATTTCTCAGGTGATTTCAGGCTCCCGTACCTGAATTCACTTAGTCCTTTGCTACCTATACACATGGTTGTTGTCGCAGATTCCTGACTACCCCCACCTCCCAAATAAAAACAAAACAAAATAGAGTGAAGGATAGGCAGCATGCTACAAAAAGAGTGCTTGTCTTGTAGGTAGAAGCCCGGAGTTTGATTCCTAGCTCTGGCACTCATTAGTCATGGACTATGAGCAAGAGAGTAGAATGGAAAGGCCACTGGGTTTGGAATCAAAAGACCTGGGTTTGAATCCTAGCTTTGCTATTTATACATCACTGGAGAGAAGTCACAAACTCTCTGAGCCTCAGTTTCTCCATGTGCAAAATGAGGGGACTGGGCTAGATAGTTCTGAGGTTCTTTCTAGTTAAATATAGTGATGCTTGTGATACACATCTTTCGACCACCTGATAGGCTATCCCAAGAATAGGAAGTGATTGATTATGATGAGGATAGCAATACTTCCTGTGAAAGTTTCATCCATTTGCTCATAAGTTTGTACTTAAAGGATAGGAAATGGACTTGAGATTTCACTGGTATAGAGAATTCTTAGGTGTGGAAACTTCTTCTACCAATGTCGGTCAGCAGCTTCTCTGCAATTTATCATTTTAGTGCATTACCTAGATCATCAAGAGGCTAAGTGATCTGGACAGGGTCACACCCCCACTATGTCAGGTCTTCCTGATTTAGAGGCCAGCTCTTTATCTACTATGCTACACTGGCTCTCTAAGCTCTTAATGAACAACAATAAATAGTATTATTTCTATACATGAGTTGAAATTATAAATGAAAGTTATAATGAAGTTCATTTGTGTATTTTCTAGATTAATTCTTTGCCAGTATATGTTGGCACTTTTATATTTCCTACTTTCAAATGACAAAACTGAATGATAACAATGGTTCTTTTATATGTTAGTATCAAATTCAATGACCACACATGACAGAGAAAACAGAGAATGAAGACAAAGTTCCCTTTTCAAAAAATAAATGGTATATCAATTATCAGCAAGCCTCATATCTATCACTTAGCAACTCATAACTTGGTTACAAAGGGAGCATACAGTTTAATTTATGATATACTTACTTTTGTCACAATAGATGTGCAATGAATTCTTGAATAAAGGTGTTCCAACATGGTGGTTTGATGTGTGTGTGTGTAATGTTAACAATATTGTTGATACAATATAGCATATATTAAATACATTCTATATATTCCATACATACAGTCTATAGTCTATTCTATTCTAAAATGTATTTGTATATATGTACATATATGTGTGTGTATATACACACATATACACACATATATATACATACACACACACACACACACATATATATATATATATAAGACTAATATCAGAATTGCATCAAGGCAATTCTGATAGAAGAATGAAGCACAAAAAAAGAGAAAAAAACAAAATGGAAAGAAAAAATGTTCTTTATACTTTTAAATACAACCAATCCACACATTTCTAGAAGAAGAGAGGGCAGGACATTCCTTAGGACACTGCCTACAGCCAGGGCATTAATGAATGGTCCCCTTTTTTTTAATCAATATTACTGATAATTCAACTGAGTGCCTAAGCATCTCTGGCCTACCTTGGACAAACAGTTCAGCCTTACTAGCATAAACAGTGACTTGTCTAAACAAATCTTGGTCCAAAACTTCTACATAGGAGACGCCTGTGTTCCACAAAATCTACAAGAAAAACAATTACTGTTTTAGGTAATCATGAAAAGTGATACCAATCAAGTTTTCTAGATTATAAAAGTGCTTTAAAAAGTTTGTAACAAAAAAATTCAAATATCAAAGCAGATTTATAAATGGCAAAATACAGTATGCATCTCACCCCAAAAGAACTTGATGTAAAAAACAGCATGGGAAGAAAGTGGTCCCATTCTTTGAGAGGAGTCCCTGAAGCTTTGCAAAATGGCAGAATTAGGTCTCCATTGTAGTGGTGTACTTTTACAAGTTGTGAATCTCTTGGAACAGTTTTATAAACAACACTGGCATTGTTATTGAAAGTATGTGAAGAAATCCATCAGTGCGTGGTCCTTTTAAAATGCTGTACTGATTCTACAAAACAAGTCCCTATGTTGCTAAGATGCTATACTTAGGGGAGCACTGTCCCTCACTATCTCTCCAAGCTGACGGAGTAGTGACAAAGCTGTGTGTCTAAATTAAAGAGACTGTGCATCTTCCTGTAATGTTATTTGCCTCCAAATTTTAAAGGAGTTATCTTGATGTTGGTAATTGGTGGAGTAGGCAGCTTGGAAAGTAGCTTCTGTGTGTGATGGAGTATGTCAAGAACTCTTTGTAGGTGCAGAAACCAGTGGTGTGGTTGTAATAGAGAGATTAATTATAAATCTATGAGGAGAGTGCATTTGGGAGACTGATGTGATTGAATAGAAGAAGCTCAGAGCATGAGTGGTTTATGTCAAGATATGGATGATGGATTTACCCCAAATCATTACTTTAGGGAGTGTAGTGAGTCTAAGAATTAGGGCAGAATGTGGAGGCATGCACTTCCAGCTTATGTAGTTAGCCCATGGGACTGTGTATGCTGTATTCTTGCTGTGAAATGATTGCTGTCTTTTGGGGTCATATCATCTCTGTCAGATATGATATATTTGAATGGCATAATTCTGAGCTTCAGAAGAGAGATATCCTAGGGACCCAAATAGGCCTAGAATCCAGGGTGTGAGTAAAACAAGTATTTATTTAGTTCTTAATATGTCTAACAATCTATAAGGTTTTATGAGGAATCTACTTGGCTTCAAGTAACTTCTATAATTTCATTGGACAGGTGAGATAAATGCACATGAATCAATAGCAAAAATAAAAGAAAAATAAGAAATGTAAATTCCTTAAGAGTAAAGAGTGAATTATTCTTTGTGTTTGTATCTCCAGCATATAGTACAGTCTTTTGCACACAGCAGGGGCCTAATAAATGCTTGCTGATTGACTGATATTACAGAAAGCATAATTAAATACAATAATGTGTGGTACAGACTCACCGATTTTAGAAGTCGGGGGGAGAGGGTTGAAATGATGAGAGGTGTAGTTTAATGGAAAAGTATGAGGAGATAAGAGGAAGAGGTTTTGTGTGTGTGTGTGTGTGTGTGTGTGTGTGTGTGTGTGTGTGAGAGAGAGAGAGAGAGAGAGAGTTTCAGATGAGAATGTAAACAAAGGCCTATAAACAAAGGTGGGAAGGTTATCATGTTTGAGGGAAAAAAAAGGAACAACTGTTATTGAAGCCAAGGGCTAATGTTCAGGGAAATGATGTTGGTCAAGGAAGATAGAGCCATATTACAGAGAGCCTTAAAAGTTAAGTAGACACATTTAGATTTGTTGTAATGAAGTATACCAAACCATTGCAGTTTTTTTTTTTTTATAGAGCCATGGCAAAAGTGGTGTTTAAAGATGGATTGAAAGGAAGAAAAACTGGAGTCAAAAAGGCTAATGAGAAGAATGCTGAAGTAATCTGCACGTGAAATGAAGGCCTGAACTCAGTTTGTAGCAATGGAATTAAGGAAGGTATGAATATGAGAAAGATTTTAAAGGAAGAATTGATAGGATATGGTGACTCATTGAGTATGGGGAACAAAACAGAGACAAAAGGATAAAAAATGACTATAAGGTTTTGAGTCTTGATGCCTGGGAGAATGATATCATTAACACACACACAGGGAAGCTGACTTCTATCGGTAGGGAATAACACCTTATTATTAATAAATTAATATAATACCTTATTAATACCTAAGAATTAATACCTTTTTAAGGAAAGAAAAAAAAATCAGTTATCAGTGATATAAGGTGCTGAGAACTTAGGACACCCAGCACAGAATTTTAAATGGTCTTTGAAATTATCACAATGATTAGTTCCTAGTGTCTTTTTTGTAGTTAATATTCACCTGGATACTCAGTCAGTCAATAAACATTTATTAAACACCTGTTATGTGCCAAAGACTGTACTAAGCCATACAAAGAAGGGCAAAAGACAACCTTGTTCTCGTGGAACTCACAGTCTAAAGGGGAAGGCAATATGTAAATAACTAAATCCAGGATATATAAAAGATAAATTGGAGATAACCCACAGAGGGAAGGCACTAGCATTAAGGGAAATCAGGAAAGGCTTCTTACAGAAAGTAGGATTTTTAATTTGACGTGAAAGAATCCAGGGAAGATAGGAGGCAGAGATGATGAAGGAGAGAATTCCAGCCATGACAGAAAGCCAATGAGAGTGCTCAGAGTCTAGTTCTAGGAACAAGAAGGAGGCCAACATTACTGGTTCACCAAGTATTTGAGGTGGGGGGTAGAGAGTACAAAGGTTGAGGTGGGAGAGGGAGAAAGTATGAAGAATTTTGAATGCCAAAGAGAGGATTTTGTATTTGATTCTGGGGGTAATAGGGAGCCACTGGAATCTGTTGAGTGGGAGGGTGACATGGTCAGACCTGAACTTTGGGAAGGCCACCTTAATAGCTGAGTGGAGGGTGGACTATAGTGGAAAGAGATTTGAGGCAGGGCAAACAAACCAGAAGGCTGTTGCAGTAATCCAGGCATGAGGTGATGAGAGCCTGTACCGGAAGAGTGTCAGTGTCAGAGGAGAGAAGAGGCAAGAGGTGTTACAAAGGTAAAGCTGACAGTACTTGGTAATAGATTAGGTAGGGGGTAAAAGTGAGGAATCAAGGAGGGCAACCCCCAGGTTTCAAATTTGGGTGACTAGGAGGATAATAGCAACCTTGACAGTAATAAGGAAGTTGGGAAGAAGGGAGGGTTTGGCAAAAAAAATACTCATGCTCTAGAAAAATACAAAATACAAAATACAACAGGTAGCTTATTTTATCACTTTACTCAAAAAGAGGTTTATCACTGGGTATTTCCATTTTACCTAATTTCAATGTAGATATCTTTGTTGGCCTTTGCTTTTTTCTCTTACTTCCTTTTTCTTTTTCCCCCTTTCTTTCCTTTTAAGGACTTGATCTTGAAAATTTTACAATGTTCTAATATTTATTTTAATATTCTGATACTTATTAGAATATTATAATCTGGGAGGAGCTAGTAGATTTTAAAGACTACACTTCTCACTCTGTCTTTAACAATCATTTGAAGATGTGTGTCCTATTGCAAAATAAAACTCCAACCAAATTTGCTTCCTTCTTAAAATCACAGGCGTGGCCTCACAATAGAAAAGAAAATGAAATATGAATAAAGGCCATGGTATCAAGGGTATCTCCTGAACCAAGAGTAAGAGGAACAGACAGGAATACAATTACACAGCTCAAAACTTAGAGGTCACATAAAAATATAGTATTATAATATTTTTATTAGCTACTAAATCACTAGAAAGTACTAATATTCAAAACAGGAGGTTGTGTTATTGGTTCAAGAAAAGATGAGATATTGAAAAAAGAGACATTTGTGGAAAAGCAATAGGCCATTTCTTGCCCATGGCTGCAATCTTGGGGATGCAGAACCGCCATGACAAATCCAACTACCATCACAATCACACCATTAAGGAGCATCACGCTGGCCAGAATCTTATCTGGGTGTATCCATCTTTCTTCAGAGAGCTTCAGATAACAAGCCGATGGGATAACAAAAATAAGTGGAGCTGCACAGAGGACACCCTGTGAGATGGAAATGAGAAGAAACAAGGTAATTTGGCAGAACAAACACTTTTTTTTCCAGACAGTTACCAAGCAAGAGTGTTTGTAACGGTTCTGTAAAACTCATTTAATGACTTGCAACTGAATCTGAAAGAGGAGGAGAAAATGCCAAAAGATTTAGGAATTATATTTTACTTTTCTCAGGGTATTTTTACAAATAGAGGATTTTGCAACCACAGACCCAAAGAATATTAGAACTGGAAAGGACCTCAGAGATAATCTTGTCTAATCTCTTATTTGGACTGAAACTCAGAGATGTGTAAGGTAACTTGCCCAAGATTAGAAAGAGGGGCAGCGCCAGGTCTAGAATGCAGACTTCCTGACTCCTAAATCCAGTGTTATTTCTACTCATAAGACTTCAAAATACAAAAATCAAATCACAACAGTGTGGGTAAACAAACAACTTTCTTAAGCTATTATGATTCAACATATATTTAAGAATAGGAAGTATTCCTCATAAATACCATGACAAATTGTTTTGTTTTGTTTTGTTTTTTTGCAAATGCATGTTTGAATCACTTTAAGAAATATATTTATCTATACCACAATTTTGCTCAAATATCCTATTTATCAAACTAAAACTTATACTTTACATAGTCAATAAAATAAGGTATAAAGATTTACTTTAGACAAATTCTAGAAATTTCTTTTCTTTTTGGTTATGTCTTAGTTCTTTAACTTTTCTATACAAGTTAGCGAACTCTGTCAAATATAAAGGGCCTAAACCTTTGTTGGCATGAGACTAGACTTTTTGGGAAGCACATTTCCCCTTTTCATCTGGGAAGCCTCCTCAGTGTCAATTTAAGTATATATCCACGTAAGTAAAAACAGGAAAAATAGCATTGTAAATGCACTTAGCAATAAATAGCACGTCTAAACCCTCCTCTGAGTAAAACCAAACATACTCATTACCTTTACAAATAGACATGAGGGCCTAAGTAGCCTGGCTAATTCACCAGATCAGATTAGCACTTGGATAAATTCAACCAAAGGGCAAAGTGTCAGATTTAAAACAGAGGTTAGGAGATAAAATATATAATTAAGAAAGAGGGACTTGGCTATTCTACCTGTTGTCAACATTCCCTTCCCCCCTCTCCCACTATGGGTGTTATTGACCATCCTCTGTAGTTTATTAAAGACAGGCTAGAAGCTTTTAATTTAAAGACTTGATAACAGAAAGTCTTGCCTTTCAGGTCACGCAACTAATGCACACCTAGAAGATTATTGAATTTAACTGAATCCATAGATAACATTTTTCATAAAAGCAGTATTTTTAATTTTTAGGGTTTGTTTTATTTTCTGGTACTGCCACACTTTGCCTTTGATAACACTTGTAAAGGCAAATTTTCTGAATGTGAAAAAAGAAAGAATAGATGACATCTACAGAGTAGCTTTAATGGAAGCACAGTCTTCAATGTGTGTCAATTTGGAAAACCTTGATAATTCCTTGGTAACCTTGATAACCTTGGAAACACCTTGATAAAAAGAACATGGGCAATTATGGTTTACAAAATTATATAATGAGCAATAATGCCGATTTAAAAACGGCAAAAGGTGACAGACACTGCAGTGGCACTATGGTAAAGGTTTCAGGATTTGGGAGATTATAAATAAGAAAGGCGTCACAGTATAATGCTGCTGTTGGAGTTCAAATCCCACCTTTGAGACTTCCTAGCTGTTTAATAGAAGTAAGTTATTCAGCTTCACTGAGTCTCATGTGTAGAACAGAGATAATACCTGCAGTCACTATCTCACAAGGTTTTTGACAGACTTAAAAAAAAAACCACTTCTAGAAAAATTCAAACTCCTTAAAGGCAAAAACAATTTCATTTTTATCTTTGTATTCCTGGTGTCTGGGATGTTGAATTGAATTGAAGCAGGATTAAGGAAGGAAGGAAACAAGCATTTATATTGTGTTTGCTGCATACCAGGCACTGTGCTAAGCATTTACAAATATTTTTTTATTTGATCCTCACAACCCACCTTGGGGTTGTTGTTGTTCAGTCATGTCTGACTCTCTATGATCCCATTTAGGGTTTTCTTGGCAAAGATACTGGGGCAATTTGCCATTTCCTTCTGCAGTTCATTTTATAGATGAGGAAACTGAGGCAAACAGGTTTAAGTAATTTGCCCACAGTCACATAGGTAGTAAGTGTCTGAGGCCAGATTTGAACTCAGGAAGATGAATCTTCCTGACTGCAGGCCCAGTATTCTATCCACTGTGCCACCTAGCTGCCCCTCAATCTTGGGAAGTAAGTTTTGTTATTAACCTCATTTTACAGTTGATGAAACTGAAAGAGACAGAAGTTCAGTGACTTGCTCAGGGTCACACAGCTAGTTAAGTGTCTGAGGCTAGATTTGAACTCAGGTTGGGCCCAGTGTTCTATCCACTCTACCACCTGCCTTCCCCATGCAGTTTGGGGAAACAGAAAAGGCACTGAATAGGATTTAATAATCCTCTGTGGGAATGAGATAACACCGTAAGACTATAAAAATGCATTCCAATAAAAAAAAGCACTCGGAGTCTCTATATATTTTCCATTTAGAAAAGCTAACTGTAAAATGAATGACTGGCAACTGACATGGAGAGCAAAAAAGATTTGTTTTCAACTGAGCCAGTTTTGAATGCATCAGTGAACTGCGCGGAGGAGAAGCTGAATAACTATACTTGGTGTGTGTGATAGAACATCCTGAACTGGCTCAATCCTGATTTCTATGAATTAAGTGTTACTGCTCTATTGCTTTGAAATAAAGGCTCCTAAACATATCAAATGCAAAAATAGAAAGACTGTACTGTACTCTTCAAAAATTTGCTTCTTGGCAGGGATAAACATATGTGATGCTTATTCATCTAGAACCACAGAAGTGTGGAAGCACTAAGGCATAGAGTTGCCAACAGTTCCTCTTAAGGAGATACCACTATCCAGACTTTTGGAACTGTTCCAATGCCAAGGTACTGGGCAGGGCAAACCAATGAGCATTGTGTTTATTTTATGCTTCTCACAATTGAGAAAGTAGTTACTAGGAATAAATCTAATGATTAGAAATAAAGCTAATATTTGGACTGGAGGAAGTCTGGTCAGATGTTGTGTCTGAAGGCAAGGCTCCTGTCTCAGGATCTGCAAAAGCCTTTAGTCATCAGGAGTTAGCCCTGAGAATTCCACCAGAATGATGGCAAGTCTGATGATAGATGTCAACATTGACAGCACACCCATTATCATTTTCTTTGTTTTGAAAAATTGCACTCTTTTAAATTGAGGACACTGGGTCTGCTTTTGGAAGCATGTCATTGCATGTTGTACAACAGAGAAATAAGGAAAGGTCTGTAAAGGTCTAATATTTTACCATCCTGTTAATGGACCATCAATTCAACTGCTAACACACTTACAGTATGATGTGATCTTTTCTACATGGCAAGTAAAGTTTCCACCACTTCATGTTGGCTACTACAAATACAATAAATCTATATGAGTCATTTTCCTCTCAAAATGAAAAAAAACACACAAAAAACCACTCAAGTTCAAATTAATTTTTTTCCTAATTTTATCCTTTAATTCCTTTCACACTGGGCCAAATGATTCTTTTCTTGTTATTAATCCAATTCTGGTTATTAGATGGTTAAGCAATGTAATGACTTTAATCTCACAGTAAGTTCAGTCTCCTTCATTCCTTTAATCATATTATTTATTTTTTTCTCTCAGTTCTCTTCAGTTTAACTGTATGTGCCAAAAATAAACTCAGTATTTCAGATCCACTCAAAGCTATATTATCTTGCCTGGGTATTACTTTTAAAAGATTGTTTGGATGAGACTATTTTACTACTCAATTAAATTTTCAGTTTAGGGCAGCGAGGTGGTGCAGTGGGTAGTGTGCCACACCTGGCATCAGGAAGATTTATCTTTCTGAGTTCAAATCTGGCCTCACACATTTATGAGCTATGTTACCCTGGGCAAGTCGCTTAACTCTGTTTGCCTCAGTTTCCTCATCACTAAAATAAGCTGGAGAAGGACATGGCAAACCACTACAGTGGTTTCTTCGCATGAAGAATCAGAGATGACTGAAACAACAAAATAAGATTTTCAGTTTGCCTGATTTCTTTTACTGTATCATCCTTCCCAAAGTTGATCCCCAAAGAGAATTAGAGATAGCATGATTGGATTTGGATTCAGAGCACTTGTGTTCAAAGCTACCTCAGACATTTATTTGCTCATCTCTTCATGTAATGACTCAAGGTAATATTGAATGAGGACAAGGCAGCAATATCATATAAAGAATCCTTGGGGAAAGTTTCATGATGGAGTATGAAGTTAGAGATCATAAATATACTTGAGTGACATATGTTGAATCAGTTTCCTTTGGGTATTAGGCTCAGTAGCAAAGGGAAAGGTTTGTGGTAAGGGAGTATTGCGAACTTAGTTTCCTCATCTAAAAAATTATGAGATTGGACCTCTAAAGTTTCTTTCAGTCCTAAATCTATGATCCTATAACAAACGTCCTTTCCAGCCAAAAATCTGTGATCCTATGTCCTCAACAGAACATCAGGACAAAGACAGAATGAAAGTCCATTACTAAGTCTCCATGACCCCATTCATTTGGGTGATTTTTTTTAAAGCAAATGTATAGCTTCTCCAGTGAATTAGAATCTCTGAGGTGAGTAGCATAGGTGAAAAGTCGATGAAAGCTAAAGAAAAGGCTAGAGAGTATGCAACAACACCTCATAGCGAGGGGTGAAGATACAAGCCCATTCCTTGTTTCAGGATTCTTTTTGAAGGGAATTTATTGGTATTTATCACCACTTAGAAGTAACCACATTGATTTTTTAAAAAAATTTCTGTCGAACTGCATCTACCCCAGGTCTCTTCTATATTGTACAACATTCTGTAGCTGTGTTGCATATTATTTTCTCCAGAATTGGCAATTTGCATTTTTTCATTTGAATTTCCTTCTACTTTTTAGTCTAT